GCGATGGGTCACTAACTAGCAGCCGGGGAAAAGGATTTGGCGAATTCTATTTGACGCTCGTTGCGACAATTTGCTAGCGAACTGCATAGGCAATTAACATTATTTGCATATACGAATATTATTTTTTGAGAATAACTTTTTAGTTTTAGATTTTTTTTAAACACGAATGATATGTCATCGACGTATCTATAATTTTTGTATGTTTCATGTCACTATCTTATCTTTTGTGCAAACTTTTATATTTATTTGGACTAAACCTACTAATAGTTGCAAGACATGCAAACGTTCTTGTTTACTCTTATGTGTGTAGGAACTTCATGAAAATTCAATGAACTATCAATAAACTTTAAGGTCCGCTCAAATTTGAAATTACTGCCGATTTGTTCCTGCGGGACCAACACTTAAGGATCATCACTACGACCCCTAAAGATGGAGTCAAACAAAGAAAGTCAGAACATGAAAATTAATATCCACAGAAGGAAAAAAATCGTAGCACTTGTAATCACCCACTACAAGTCTGTATGCGCCCTGTGGGTCAGTATTTACAAAAGCTGACACTTTCGAAAATCCGAAATTAGGGGTGAAGGGATTGACTCCCACTCCTTCCAAACTTGATGATATCAATGTGGTTTGATCCTATGGGCTCATGAGAAGATAAGTTAGGTTCGGGAGGACTCTAAACATGCCCAAGGGCCTTGGATCAATGGACTATGGGCTGGATGAACGATATTAGATGCATCCACTTATATATTGATGGGAAACCTTAGTTTTGTGTGAAGGCACCCCGTGCCAAAATTGCAGCCCCATAGACATCATCTACAAAAAGATAATTTTTACTCGGTGGCGGCGCAGGTGATGCGGTGCGCGGTTGGGTGGGTCCAGCCGAGAGTGGAGGGGAAAACTTTTTACTCGGTGGATTGGCGACCAAGTAAATATTAGAGTCAGGGGTCGAGGAGGATAATTTTTACTCCTCTAAAACTTACTTTTAGGGGACCAGTTAGGTGCAGTTTAGTGAAGGAAAAGTGAAATATTACTCCTCTAAGAGCATCTACAGTCGGACCCCTTTATTTTCTTCCTAAATGCCCGCCCGGTCAAAAAAATTGACCCAACCGGACCCCTCAGTTACACCATATACACACGGACTGACCGCCACCCCTCAAATCGGGACCAAATGTAGGGACGGTGAGGGCGACGCGACCGGGCACCCCACTCCAGGTCAGAGCAGACCCGCCTGCAGCCATCGGAACCTCCTTCCAGGTCAAGACGGAGGCTTCCAAATTTTAGTCCCACCTCGCCATGAGAGGCGGACGCCGACCGGCTTAAATCGCCACAACGGCGGATGGCGGCAAGCTTCTCTTTTGTTGCATAGGTCGATCGATTATCGTTGTGTGAACAAGGTAGCTTGACACTAGATTGCATTTCATCAACTAATGATTGTTCATCGAGTTTCAACTTCATCTTGTTCATATACGTTGATAGCCCTACTACAATGGAAGAGATTTTTAAATTGTTCACCGAATTTCCCTTGCACCGTTCGACACATTGTGATTCAAAAAGAGTTGTACAAATATCAATATTCCGTTTGTGAAGGAGATAGACTATGACTATTAATCTTATATGTGATAAGGAGAGAAGATTAATAGTGATAGTCCATCTCCTTAACAAAGGATGCATTAATGGCTGAAACTTATCGCTTTTGGACGACCCGGCTATTTAAGCCGGTCGACTAGCTCCTCACACGGCGAAGTGGGACTAAATATCAGCCTAATTTGGATGTGAAAATCTTAGTATGAGCAATTTATTTTTTAGTATTTTTGACGGCACTGCTGGCCAAACGTCCGCAACATCCAAAATTATCGACGTGCATGTGTTTGCAAGTATTAACTGTTTAGCAATAGGGTTTGTGGTTGCATATGGTAAAGTTTAAAGCCGCCCAGTCACTGTTGGAGGACGCGTCCGTGGATGTTTGAGGGCACCGATTTACATGTCGCCGTTATAGATGCTCTAAAGCTTTTTAGGGGATTGGTTAGAGTTGCTTTGAGAATTTACATTACTCCTATTCCGTGGCACAAACAGAAATCACATTGCATGATCGATTCTTGCGCGCGGATCACAGATGAGCATGTTGTTTAACAATTATGAATGTTCTTATGCTGTACTCCACATCCGTTTAACAACTACTCCCTCCATTTCTAAATATTTGTCTTTCTAGATATTTCAAATGGATTACCACATACGGATGTGTATAAACATATTTTGAAGTATAGATTCACTCATTTTATTTCGTATGTACTCATTTATTGAAATCTCTAAAAAGACAAATATTTAAGAATGGAGGGAGTATAATCTGTAAAAACTTTTGGTATCTACCAGATGGCAGTATCCTGTCCGATCATTTGACTGCAACCCGAAGCTACTACAGCGAAGACTTGTGAAATCTGAAAACTATGAATGAGTCCGGTGTCCTTGAGTTACTTTTCCTTCAAGACAAGACACGTACTACCGTCCAGTACCCAATACTAGACGATTCGCCAAACTGTCGGCGCAAGTGCCATTGAACTGAATGAATATCGCTAGTGCAGTGCTATCTAGATCAAGTGTGAATCCATATAAACTGATGTGGTAGTACTGCATAGTCTTCTTCAGAGATTGTGATTTGTGAAATACTCTTGTACGTAGTACATTGCCTTGTTACACGCCCTTGTGTCATCGTCAGAGTATTTAACAAAAAACTACTACATTTCGTGGAAGCATTCCTACAAATTACGACTTTACAAATTTGTGTCGAAAACTAGCATTTTCTCATTAATCCTTGACTAAAAACTATCATGTCTGAAAAGAGCCTGATTTACCTCTTTTAAACGTGTTTCTAACTGGTTGAGCCCACACGTAAAAGTTGACGTGGCACATTAGCAAAATCAGTTTGATGGCGCAACTCTCACGGGGCAGGCAGTTGGTGGTCGTCGTCGGCCCATGGGGCGGCGATGCTCGACGTCTCCTCCCGGTTGAGCGGAGGTAGCGGCGCAACGGGGCGACGGGGGCGAAGATTTTGGCCGGATCCGGCGAGGCGGCAAGGCAGCGGAGGTTGGGGCAGGCGGCTTCAGCGGCGAAGGGCGCGGGGGCGAGCGGCTCCAGCGGCGACCCGCGGCGAGCGGCTCCAGTGGCGAAAGGCGGCGGCGGCGGCGGCTCCCGCGGCGAGCGGCTCCAGGGGCGAAGGGCGGCGGGCGGCACCCGTGGCCAAGGGCGGCGGCTCCAGCGGCGAGTGGCTTCCACGGCTGCACCTGCGGCGAAGTGCTGCTCCGACAGTTTGCGGGGCGGCGAACTGCGCGTGAGAAAGAGGAGAGGTTGTGCGGGCAAGAGTTGGTACGCAGTCTGATGGGCCACTGTTTACTGGGCCTATGTTGTCAGATTAGTCTAACTCCTAATTAGTTTAGGTTACCAGTCAAAAACACGTTTTAAAGAGGCAAATCAGGCTCTTTTGAGACATGGTAGTTTTTAGTCAAGGATTAGTAAAAAAATGATAGTTTTCGACACAAATTTATAAAGTGGTAGTTTGTAGGTACGTTTTTCATGAAATGTGGTAGTTTTTTGTTAAATACTCGTCATCGTCAAGTCATAATCGGAAGCAACGTTTAGCTGAAAAGAATTCTACCGAAGATTTTGTCAATCTGTCTGCAAGCTGGAATCAAATCCCACATGCAGTTGGCCTCTCCTCTTAAATACTACGTACTCCAGTATGCACGAATGAAGAATCAGACAACCTTGTTTTGTGCTACAATCGCTAATTGACTACTACTACTACTACTACTTGACAGCTTTGCTATACAATTATCATGGCCTAACTAACTTTGTCCATGGTGCTTACGGTCCAACCTAAGCTAATGGGTTTGGCCCTAATTGGCCGTGATCACGGAACTTGAGTATCCTATATCCTCCTAATTGGTCGGTCTTAATAGCAGAAGATGACTGGTCGATGATAGATGACTCCTGCCTAATTCCCCTAGTTTCGTCCCAGGAAAGCCTAAGCTGTACAAATTCATTGCCAGTGTGCATCACAATCTCAGGAGCTTCATCAGGAGTAATACTACATTACTTTTTGCTCAATATATAGCTGCGACTTTCTAATAAAGAATCCAAGTGAATCTGCAGCTGACTGGTGTTCTTCAGCAAGACACAATTGCAGCATTGTACACATATCTCAGGCCAAAAACACAAGTAGTGAATCAAACCAGAACAAATGAGAACACGCTGCACAAAGTGGGGAAAGAAAAGCAGTCTCCAACTGTATGTAAACCATGTTTAATCTAACCAAATAACTGCTCGTACATAAAATGGATATGACTGTACGTAATGATACACAGTAATACTACGATTCGCAATGTACTAAAAATCACACAACTGTGATTATGATCATTGTGCAGATATTTCGATCAAGAAATCAATGCTCGAAGGTTCAAAAAAGGAAATCAATGATTTACAAGTTTGTGACCAACACGCTATTTATCATAAAGTGCAACTGTTTTTACTGTGATCTGCGGCTCATGAAGTCATGATGCACCTCATTTCTTGAAGGAGTTGCCGGAAGAAGCAGAGGCGGTGCTCTGCTCGTCGACCTTGTGCACTTTGCTTCTGCTCTTGTGCGCGACGAACATCTTCTTGAGCGCGCGCATCATCACCACCAGCCCCGGGGAGCGCCCTCGGGAGCTCCTCGACGCCGCGAGCACCGCTGCGGCCTCGCGCTCCTTCGCCGTGGTCGTCGGCCTCCTCCCGTCGACGGGGTGGCCTGGGCCTCCGATGGACCGCCGCCGCGACACGTCGAGGGAGGCGATGAGCAGATCGTTCCTCTCGCTGCCCGGCGCCTCGTCGTCGTTGAGGTCCTCCCAGAGGCTGTCCATCATCTCCTCCTCTTCGTCCCCGCCGTCGCAGAACGCGGCGGCATAGTCGCTCAGGGCGGGGGAGCAGCACCTGCCGCGCGTCGCGCGCCACGGCGACGCGGCGCGGCGGAGAAGCTGCGGCGGATGGGCGAGGAGAGCAGCCACGCGGGAAGCGGGGAGGAGGAGGGCGACGGCGACGGCGACACCCTGTTGTTGTGACGGTGGTGGCCGTAGCTGCACGCGGCTGCGGCGAGGAGCGGCGGCGGCGTGGGGAAGGTGAAGTCGTCGTCCGCTTCTTGCGCCGGCGCCGGCATCGGCTCCTTCCGTGGCACCCCTAGGAAAATCTCTGCTCTGCTTTCAACTCGATGCCGACGTCGTCGTCGCGTCGTGGCCTTCTTCTTTCTTTGGGGTGCGAGATTTTCTCGGGGCGCGAGATCGTCGGGATCGACGGGGGATTGAAATGGAGTGACGACAGCGGGCATGGTCGCCAACGCTTTATGTACCGTTACTACTCGGCTCTGACTCCACTTGTCTGCGTGCTAGTACATTCAATCAAAAAAATAAAATGTCTGCACTTTTTGGCCCAACTTTTTTTTAACATAGTATAGAATCAAGCGCTCATACAACGCGAATAATGCGAGCAGACTTGAACCCTAATAGATTGGGGATCAAAAAAACCATCCAACCATAGGTTGGTTCGCCTTTTCGGCCCAACTTGAGTCGTAAATAACTGCCACGATTCACCACAACTGTTACGAATGGATGACCAGGCATTCAGGCTTATGTACGTGCTAGTACTTTACCTTCGAGTTTCGTTGGATGAAGATATGTAACTTCTTTTTGTGAAGTGGATGAAGATATGTAACTACTCACACAGTTCCAAAATACTCGAATATGTGAGCAATTCTGAAATATATGATTTCTATCATGAATTTAATGAATGCACCACATCCTTTTTAATAGGATCAATGTATGCATTATTTTGGTCACTATATTTCACTTATAATAAATGTGCAAACTTATAATAAAAGAATATATGACCCAGAGTTATTTTGCAACAAAAATAAAAGCTACCAGTCATGACCTAGAGTTATACATTTAATGAATTTAATGAATGCATCACGTCATATATTTCACTTAATAATATATGACCCAGAGTTATTTTGCAACAAATATATATGCCCAATCTATTAGTTTTACTCATTTTAGTGGTTAAAGTTTTGAACATGTTTGCTAAATATCAGGTGCCCAAAATTTTTCAGGTGCCAGTCACTTTTGATTCGCGTGAGGCTGAAGGCGGGAACGGCGTTAGGAGCACAGACCGAGGCTAAGCCGTGCACGAGCAAGAGCCAACAGTAGTCGGTGGGGGTGAGTCAAAAATTTGACGGTGCTGGTCGGGGGG